AAAAATAAATAAAAAAATGATCATGTTCATTTGGTAAACCAAAACTTGACAATTGAAAATGGCCTTTTGTAGGTATATAGGGAGTGTTTGGAACTGATTCTACTTATGCTTCTTTTTTAAAGCAGAAGCAGAATCAAAATCAGTTTTCAGAAGCTGGTCACCCCCAGCTTCTAAAAAAATTGATTCTAGAAATAAATTTGAGCACCAGTATCACTTGTGCTCTTTCACCCAAACACTTCAGCTTCTACTTCTACTCCCTGGAGGAGCAGAAACAATTTTATGAATCAGATCCAAACACCCCATAGCAGTGCACGGTCACACCCTAAATTTATTTGGACCATAAAGAATCAATCAAAAAATAAAAAACCATAACAAATGCACTGCCACACCCTTAGTGAAGATTTTTTACTCCGTATATCTTTAAAATTTTAAAAATAGAAGTTGAAAATAATAGCCGCTCACTAAGCAAGAGACGAGGGAAGCTTATCGGGTGGATACTAGAGGCGAAGCTTACCCATCGGATACCTAAGTTCGCCATCCGCCAATCTCGCCGCCACCGCCGCCTCGCGCGGTTTCCACATCAAAAATCACAGACCCTTCATTTCCTTCTTCTAGCCGTTTCCAATCATCTCCCTTCCACCAAATCTTGGTAAATGTGCTTCTTGTTCGATGCATTTGAAATTTCACTATTTGTTGTACACAAAGTTCGAATTTTGTATATACTTTTGTCTAGTGATTCTTGAATTGCTTTGATTTTGTGATGGAGTTTGACGAGTTTAAGTTTTGAAGTTCTTAGTTTTATATTGTCTATGAAGTGTTTGAAAAAATGCCTCAATGAGGTTTTGAGTTTAGCTCGTTCTCTTGAACCCCTCCCTGCTCGTAAATAAAGTTCCTTTACGCATGTCCTAATGTATAAGATGTCTTAACACTGTTTGAATGAAGTTTTATGTTTTCATAAAGAATTCGAAGATCAGACTTGAACTGCCTTAGAGAAAGACTATGCATGCTCTTCTACAGGTTAGATCTTTTTCATATTTTAATGCTATTTTTATACTTTATATTATACCGTTAGCCTAATTTTTAATTTATAATTCATTGTGTCAAATTAACATAATTAATTATCTAATATGGTGTTGTGGTCTTGTAAATAACATTGATGAATTTAAATCAACCTTGTGTCTGTTCTTGCTTGATGCCTAATGTAATGAGCTATATGTTTACATTTGACCATTTCCAGTCAATTGATAATATTCTACATTATAAGTTAGTGCAGGACATTGTCATGCCTCAGTTAGGTTGTGATGAAAACCACAAATTTTGTTATCAATCGCTAGTTGATTCTTAAGATTTTTACACCGCAGTTGAGTGGGACAGATTCAAAGAGATTCCTGAAAACGATCTGTGAATGTCGATGAAGTTGTAGAATTGTACCAGGTATATAAAATGAAAGTGCATTTCTATACGTTTTAATTATATTCTTTCACATTTACATAGTTTAAATACATGCCAATCTTCAATTTAGGAGCAGTAAGCTAGTAACAACTAACAAGGGTAACTTCAATTTTTTGGAGGATAACCACACCACCAGAGAACCACACCACTCAAATGAAGTAGGTTTTCTCTAGTGTAATTTCCAGACTTGAAAAATACTTTTTGCTATATGCTCCATAATCAACTGTAATCCTGGAGCATTAAGAGTCATAGTCCTAAACAAGATCACTCCCAAATGAAATCATATATTTGATAGCCTCTTTGTCTCTGTTTTTTTTTTTTGCAGAATTTGGAATTCCAATCATTGCCCAGATTTTATATTGGACGTATCTAAATTGCAACTCTTTCTTAACTTTGCTTAAGGTATTTTAACTATATGATGTTATTCTAGGTTGAGTATCATAAATTTTTTAGAGGAAGAGTAGATTCTACATTGCAACTCTTTCTTAACTTTGCTTAAGGTATTTTAACTATATGATGTTATTCTAGGTTGAATATCATAAATTTTTCAGAGAAAGAGTAGACTACAGTACATGTTATTCCAGATTGAGCTCTTTGTCAGAAGGTCCCTAGTGAACTATTATATTGAAAAAATACATTCAGTTGCTTTAACCTAGTTATGGAATTAAAGGATTAGGGTAGATTTCTCGTTTGGATTCACTTGAGATTTCTGTGAGTGTAATATTGTTGTGGTTTGTCATTGTCTATTTGTTTCTCTAAAGCGTTATATTATTTATCATAGGTCAAAATGAAGAATTATGGGGCATAGAGTAATGTTGAATGTTTCGTTATGATGACGTATAGACAAGAGAAAGATGTATGTTCAATAATGGGTGGAAGAGACATTCTCAAGAGACTGGTCATTCATATGTTGTGGCTCAATAACATTGATGTAGTTATGAGCACAACTAGAACCAATGCGGAAAGGACGTGAAAAGAATTGCGAATGTGTAAACGCTTTCCATCCATTTGGTTCAATGAGAAAAGCTAGCTTTAGTTGGTTAAGTTGTGATTTTGTATCTAGTTTGATATTTTTTATTTTTACAAAAATGTTGTACTACCTAGTACCTACAATGGGATATTCATTTCTTTGATAGGTTGATGGTTGTAAATTTGTACTCTGTATTTTTCTTTGTGATATAAATTTTGTGTTGGGTAATTGTACGTGACAAAGAATTATCAATGTTCATGCTATATATTCAATATTCATAGATAAAGTGTTGCTAATTTTAAAAATAGTGTTGCAAAAAAAACTAATATAATTGTTACCAAATAAAGATTGATGTTGCAAAAAGATATAGTAAATATGTTACATAAATATAAAAAAAATGTTGCTTAAAGAAACAATTTTATGTTGCATTAGATTCTAAAAAGCGTTGCTTAAGATTCTAATCGAAGTGTTGCAAAATAGTGTTGCATTTGAGTTGTTTATGCAACAGTTAAACTAAGTGTTGCATAATAGGGTGAGAAGTGTTACATATGACTTTATGCAACGAGACCTGATGTAGCACTTGTTAAAGCGTTGCATAAACGTTTTCGTAACACTTTAGCAATCTAATGTAACATATTTAGAGCGTTGCAAAATGTGTGATTTGTTGTAGTGATTTATAGGGAAATGGAGGTGGCAGGATCATATACCCGATCGGGTACTCAGCAGCTTCCGAGAAGCTGAAAATGTCAACTCATACCCGACCGGGTGTGTCGGTCTACCCGATCGGGTATGAGACCAAATCTCCGAATATCTCCTTCCCATGATCCTTTGTTTTCCGGATTTGATGTTGACGACGAAATCGGGTCAATACCCGATCGGGTATTGCATATACCCGACCGGGTGTATGAGTTATTTTTCAAATCCTTTTTTGATCTTGTCCCCTTGCACATCTTTTGGTCTTTAGGATCCATTTCTTGATCCTTTGAGTGAATCCAACCTGTCCTGTGCTCAGAATAATCCTAATCTAAATAATTTACACTAATTTAAATAAAACAAAACATTACACCAAAAGTGTGTAATTTCCAAACTAACAAATAACAAAACTAATTAAAAACGTACAAATACAAATGGAAATTACACGCATATCAGTTGTATTTTTATTTCCTATCAGAAAAACTCTAGAATTTAAGACAGGTGACGAGAAGTATGGTTTGCTCGTTATTGGCTCAGTTAAGTCCATTACAGGATCAACGAATATTATTGCTCTAAGGAGGTGATAGATTCTAAGTCTGGTTCGAGAGAAGACGGCAGACATGAGACTTTTGTCGTTTTATATCTTGCTTAAGTTCTGTTATTGTTGTGATATCAATTCAAGCTTCTTTTTTCCCAAAAAAATAATTATTTATCGTTGAACACTAAACTAATCAGCATAAGGATGCAATGTCCTAGAAAAATGTAATTAAATGTTTATTTATTCCAACTTTATAATTTGTGTCCATATTTCCTAAAAACTAAGAGAGATATTTCTAAACATGAAAGACTAGAAAATAGGGGTGGGCGCGGTCCTATCCGGTCCAGTATTTGGCGGAACCCGTACCCATACCATGACTATTCAAACGGTTCGGTCTAAGACCTAAACCCGTTCGGTACGGTTCCATTTTCAAACGGGATGGTACCATGTCATACTAATACCAAACAATGCCACTTTTTCCAAGTGTTTGAGGAAAAAATTAAAGTTTAGCCATCCCCCAAAAAATTTAGACATTTTATTAATTTTAATACTCCCTCCATCCCAAATTGATATGCAAAGTCTATATTTTTTGGCCAACCAATGTTAAAGTTAAATTCTCTTAGTTGATAACTAATTCAATTTTTAACAATTAAAATTTACATATTCAGAAACTACATTAAAATCTCTTCAAAGTTGCAAATCCAAATTAAATATAATTAAAAATTGACATCTGAATTAAATGAATAAAATGAAACCGTTTGACCAAGAAAAGTTAATTTTGCAAATCAATTCGGGACGGAGGTAGTATTACATAATTAATAAATTTCAGATAAACTATAGTGGTACAAATTTAAATAATAAAACCATATATCGGTCCGGTTCCAGACTTCCTATTAACTAGCAAAGGCAGTCAAAATGTGAAAACACTAGTCAAATTAATGGTATAAATATAAATTTATACCATTACTTCGGTCCGGTTCGATCCGGTATCGGTACCGGTTCTCATTTTATGAAAACCGGTCATAGCATTGTTTAGAACCGATACGGTCCAGTTCGGGGCAAGAAAATTGAGAATTGTTTCAAATTCTGTCTTTCGGTCAGGTACCATACCGGTCGGTTCGGTATCATGCCGGCTCGGTATTTTTGCCTCAGCCCTACTAGAAAAGGATATTCCGTAATTTTTAAAAGATGAGGTCCAAATAATAATTTAATACTCCGTAATTTTTACTTCTTAAACCCCACTGCTAAAATCGGGAGTCAGGAGTAGGGACCGCGGAAAATATCGAGCTATCAATATAAATTGATACGCCGACTAGGGTTACATAGTTGCGAAGGAAGCAGGAAGAGCGGCAGTGCACCTCGGAGTCATGGTTCTCAAGTAATTTTCTTTGATTCAATTTTAGCATCCACTGCAATTTATCTGTTTAAGGAATCTGTATGATGTTGTTTCTCGCGGTGTTCACCTCTATAATTTGCTAAAATTCATTTTCTTGCCAAGATTATGTTCCCTCACTATCTAGCCAGACTAACCAGATCAGATGATTTTGGTTAGAGTTTTATGTACATTATGGGGTTTTGGAGAGCTTCATTTTCATAACCCTGGTCATGATTTTGTAGATTCAATGATTAATTGGTGAGATTTCATCCTGGTCAAATCTGGATTGTGTCCTATATCCCCTTTAATCGCCTTAACTTATGTTATACTTATGCATGATTTGCTAGAGGTGAAATTGAATGAATGTGTTTACTTGGTATTGAATTCGAATTGTGTAGCAACCGCCAGGTCTAAATATGTTACATTGTTCTATTCGGCTTTCCACTTTAACCGTTTATGTGTATCTTGATTTCGGTGGCATCCATTACATGTTCTAAAGAGACATAGATCCACTAGTGAATTGACTGTAAGGGGTTTAAGCGGAACTGTATGTCATCCCTCCCACAATGTTTTTTATCTGACATGTATGTATCATACATGTTGTTGGGACTAAGGCTTGGTTGTTGTTGTTGTATGTATGTGTCATACCATAATTGGTTACATTTATTCTGTGGCCTAAAGATTAATCCATACTGTAAACATTTGCTATCAAACACAAAGTTTATTTTCCCCTAAATTTGCATACTACTTCTCCTTGTTCATAACATTGCTAGATCTAAGTAATTTACAGTTTCACTCACTCCGATCCATCTGTATGCTTTGCAATTAGAAAGGATCTGTCTGAGTGCCCTGTTCATGATGCTGGGATGAAGCTCATCTATTTTTTATTGAATGCAATGGACTGGAGGGTATGGCTTTGTAGGTGTTTAATATATTGCAAATTAGGTTACTAATCCACTATGTAATTTCAGAACTGAGCTCTGTCGTTTCAGTGGTGCCAAGATATATCCTGGGAAGGGTATCAGATTTGTTCGTGCTGATTCACAGGTGGGTATCTGAATCCTAAGCATTTTCTTGTCTTGTCTCCAATTTCTTTGTATTCGTTATGTGAAGAATTGGTTGTAGAGTTCTTCCCGATTTGGCTGATTGTTATGGTTATTCCAGGTTTTCCTGTTTTCAAATTCAAAATGTAAAAGATACTTCCACAACAAGCTGAAACCTGCCAAGCTCACTTGGACGGCAATATACAGGAAGCAGCACAAGAAGGTGTGGTATATCTGGGATTTCTTTTTTGAATTAGTTTTTTATTTGAATCTGATCTTTTTTTATTTTCTATGGTGTTCTTTTCATATTCAATTGGGAACTTGAACATATCTTTTTCAATTTCGTTTTTATTTGTGTTACTGGTAGGATTTAGCACAAGAAGCTGTTAAGAAGAGGAGACGTGCCAACAAGAAGCCATACTCAAGATCCATAGTTGGTGCTACACTAGAGGTCATCCAGAAGAAGAGAAGTGAGAAACCAGAAGTCCGAGATGCTGCTAGGGAAGCTGCACTTCGGTATATAGTTTTTTTGTTTTCTTGCCATTAACCTTCCATGAATCTATATTACCTCAAATCTGCTGGTAGTATAATTGTCGTTTGTTTATGCAGAGAAATCAAGGAAAGGATCAAGAAGTCTAAAGATGAGAAGAGAGCTAAGAAGGCTGAGGTGGTAGCAAAGTCACAGAAGTCTGGGAAGGGTAATCTTCCCAAGGGAAATCTGTCAAAAGGCCCCAAGTTGGGTGGTGGTGGTGGAAAGCGCTAAGCAGTGCTGTTTTCCCCCTTCCCATCTTATTACCATTGCATAACTTAAAGCATTAGCTTGTACTATTTCTGATTCTCTAAGGTTCATCATTTCATTCCAGTCTACTGAAATTTTGTTTCCCAACTTTGATTCTGAAGACCATTATCCTTTGCGTTTTTATAACTCTGTACCTGTTGATTGAGCTATGGATTTTATTTTATGATATTGTGGCCTTGTGGGTGTCCAATTTTTCCAAATGATCCCACGGGCCCTTCAGGGATTGGATATAGGCATATAGCCATCTGATTTAATTTCACTTTTGTTCTGGGTCTTAGCCCTCTTAGAGTCTTGCTAAGGTTTAACCCTCATAATTCCTGTTAGAGAGTGGCTGGACTGTTTTCGGTTCCAAGCTAGACTTAAATAGACTATGAGACTTTTATAGTTATGAAATACTTAGAGAGCAAACATTCATCAGACTAGACTTAAACATTTTGAGTAGATCAACAAAATCAAGTTTGAGTAAAAAAATTCTAAGACAGTTCTTTAAACATTTTGTATGTATGTCTGTACCAAGTAATATGCGTTTTATAAAGCATGGTAATGATTTGCGTATAATTATTTTGTAAATAAATTACTAACAATGTATCAAGGGTTAGCATTTAGCAAGAAAGATCTCTCCATTCCTAACACTCCATGTGCTAATGTGCTATAAATTGTCTTTTGATTTTGACCGTGTTACCTTCAGATCCGTGATAGGGTACAGCATTTCACTATGTTTTCTTTTTCACTATATATAGGTAAGATTAGGCCTGTCAATGATCCGAATCCGGCACTTTAGTTGAGGGTATGTATCTAAATTTAGAACCGTTTCTCGGATCCGGATTTGAACCCGTTATATGATAGAGAAAATGTGTTGGATGTGGATTTTTAAATTCTGGCCCGTTTTGGACTCGACTTGTGATGATATAATTATAGTTATAATTTTTTACATTTTTTCCAAATAAAACTTTATTAATGGTAAAAGAAGAGGGGTACAAGAAGCAAAAACGAAATCAGCAAAGGACAAAAGAAAATGCCCAATCCCAAGTACATGTAAGCCCTACCCGAAAATCCCTAACTCTCTATGTCTGCATTGATAAACCTTAGCATTCCTCGCGAGTTTGAGATCTCGTTCTCATACGGTGTGAATGTGGGGGCAGTGGGGTTCTGTTTCTGTAAGACTTCATCTGCATGTTTAAATTGATTGTAGGCAAACAATTGTCCCCCGTGACTAATAATGCCTTATTACAAATGTTTTGATTAGTGTCAAATTATAATCTCATAAGTCATCCACCGTCAATATAGGAGTCCGTTTTTACATATACACACACAATATACATAGAAATATTTAAGCATAAAATAAGAAAAATAATCAAATATAAAAAACATGTTTTAATATTTGTAGGCTTAGTAGTGGTTGGCTCACTATAATGTGATTTTCGCTAATGAGTTACAGCTCTAGGTTCTCTATGAGTTCACTAATATACGTATAACATACTTCGTATATTATTGTATAGTTCATACGGAGTAATGGATAGAACAACATTTTGCTTATTTATATATGATCTCTTCCAACATGAACAATTTTTACATTATCAAATCCAGGCAGTAGGTATTGAGAATCACCATATCTTCTCTTGTGGGAAGCAACCTCGGTTGCCACTAATCCAAGCTTATTCAGACGCCTCTGATGATTTTGATTTTTCGGATGACTCCATCTTCACAGATGACTTCTTGGGACATGCAACTGAAAGCGACCGTCGTCCTCCTATTTCTTACCCAGAAGAAATAGGAAGTCTAAATTCAATAGGGAAATTTGCCGCAAAGCGAATTTCATAACTGCGGATAACTGCCTGCCAACTGAAAACCTGAACACGCAATTGAAAATTTACAGAAAGAATCAGAAGAACAAAAGGCGTCATAATATGAGAACAAGATCTCAATCCAGAGATTTCCTCTTTATTTGCTCTGTATTTAGTTTGCTCACTTTTTCCTTTTTGTACCGCTTTTCCTTTTTTCCTTTTATCGCTTTGTACCATTTTGCATTTATCAATAAAATTCCTCTTTTCTCAAAAAAAAGAAAACAATTTTTTGTTATATATTATATTTGTTTGCATATGTAAATTAATTTTTTTTGTGGGTATACCCGGCCCGCATCCGAGAGCCGCCGGATCCACATTTGGAACATATGTTTATGACCCGAAGGGTAAATGGGTGCGGATGTGGACCAAAAAATTCCAACGGATATGGATATGGAACTTATAATTCCTGCTCGTATCTGACCCGTTGACCGGCCTAGGTAAGATTGTAAGACCGTATGGTCTGCTGAATTTGTCTTTTTAGTGCGTTTAACCGAAACATGAATATTGATACATGTGATAGTTTGTGAGTATCATGCCGCTTTTTGAATACATTCAGGGCGGAATCGAATCGTTCGTTTTTTCTTTTGACAGTAAAACATTAAAATGTTTAAAATTTGTTTTGCAGTTTCTTTTGAGATGAGAGCATGATTGTTTTTTTCTTTTGTCATTTTAGAGGAGTATAATATTTTTATATGCTAGGAGGCAACCCACCAAGTACATGTTAAGTAACAGGAAATATTAAAAATGTAAAGAGTACAAACATTAAAAATCGAAACTATAAAACACATAGAGTTTTCAAAATAACGAAAAAGTAGTTAAAAAATAATACTCTTTTTGTCTCTTATAACTTTTTCATTTTCAAATTTAAAAAATAATTTTGTCATTTCCCCCCTTTTCTCCCAAAACTTTTGTCACTTTCCCAGTTAATCAATTACTTTTTATTCAATTATATTTCACTCTCCTTTCCACATAACCCGATCAAACAACCTTTACTTTATAATTTTTCGTGACAATCAAATTTGACAAAGTTATAAGAGAATAGTCATCATGGAATGATCGGGAAAAATGTTGCATGTGAATGCAATAGTGAGGTGGGGTGGAACGAAATAATTTAAAACATAAATACAAATCTTATCTTGATCTGTACTATTACAATTCTCAAAAAATCATAGATGAATGTGTATGTCAAGTGGAGGACTTGAGGGGAGGAATGGGCAAGTACCCCGCTTCCCACTCCAAAACTTAGTTTTGGTACTTATAATAAAAATTGTGCTTCCTAGAATCCTAGATGGACAAAATAAACTACATACGGAGTATAACTTTGATCAATTATATATATTTATTGGAAAATAATTATAATATAATATTGGTATAAAAATGTTTATTTGTTAAAAGTATTTTCATAAAAGTAAAAAATTTATAACTTTTATAATACTACATTATACTAATTAAAACAATGGTTCAAATTTTAGGGTTTGGGAAGTATTTTGGGACGGAGGGGTATTAGATATGCGGATAATTCTGTCAAAGCACATTTAACAATATATAAAACTTTAGTAAGAAATGTAAACGATCACGAAATTGTGATGAAACTATTCCTTACAATTAGATATGTTATTGGTATGGTCACCTCAGTTTCTTTGAAAAGTGACATTGATGATTTTTTGCTAATTATGAATAATGTTTGTCTATAGTTAGTAATAGTGTAATTATTTTCACAGTTAGGTGTCAATGATATGACAAATCTAATAATATGTGGGATGAACTTAATGGATGGAAGCTTTTATCTTGAATTTGGACCATGAAAAAAAGTGTTGATAAATTAGTATCAGAGCCCAAGACCCTTCGATTTTTTGTACATCAATATAATAAAAGTTAGATATATAAAATCATATTACTACGTATTAAATAAAGTTGTATTGAAGGATAAAATAACAAATTTGAAATATACTTCATTTTTAACTAGCTGTATTACATTTCAAACAAGTACCAACAAAGTTTTGTGCCACAATGTGTAACACTCGACATGATTCTAGTTTAGAATTGAAATCCTGACAATTTTATTTTATAGTATGAAACACGAGAATTTTTATGTAAAATCAGAAACGGTCAAGGATGATTGATTTTTAATCCAAATTATGTCTTTCTTTGTCCTTCTTTCTGAAAGAGAGACAAATATTTATAGTTGTCTTAATGACTTCAATACTAGACCTATAATCCCTAGATATCAATAGCTTGAAACTGGCATTAAATAATCTATTTCCGATTAAAATAATAATCTAAATAGACTAGATATAATAGACCAGTGACACACCTTAGACCATTTGTAGTGGTTTGGGATTAGGAGTCAAAAGATTAAAAATGGAGATTTTAGACTCTTATTTGTGTGTAGTGGAGGATTAAAAGGGGAGTAAAAGTGGAAAGGGGAGTGGAGGAGTGTAAATATAGAGGGAGGGGTTGACAGCCAAAAATAAATAAAAAAGAAAAGAAAAAAGGGGGATGAGATGGATTGGTGCCGGGCCAAACCATGTTTTCGCTGACATCATGGTGACATCATTATAACCCCAAATTGTTTTAAACTCTTGTAACTTTTTTATTTGTTCTCCAAATTTTTCAAAATATATATCAAAATTCATAAAATTTTATGATCTTTCATATGACACCAAAATGTAATATATAAAATGAAACAAAAATTCTTAAGTGTTAACTGTTGAAGTTTTCTTTCGTTTACAAAACGATGAAACACAAATTTTTAATTCATGAAATCTTCACAAATAACTGAATATTTCATAATCGAACTTTACTTGAACTAAATTCATTATTGTTAATCGAAAACATTAAAAAAAATTAATGAAATTTATTTATTTTGATATCGAAATGTGTATTTTTTTATTTCACAATTATTTAGGGAAAATATTAAACGGAAAACATTACTTATAATAAATTAATTAATGTTTTACTAAATTAATATGTAAAAAAAATATGTTGAGTGTATTTTATTGACGGTGCACGGATGCAGGGAAAAACAGTATTGACGGAATCAAAACACTGTTTTCATATGGACGGAGTCCAAATTTAAATTTGGACTCCCAACCACTACAAATGGTCTTAGATAACCAACCTTTGCTTTTCGCCAAGAGACCCAACCTGACTCATTCTAATCCATGCGGCGGTCCTCTAGTTTACACCTTACGTCCTTACCCCTAGTACAGACAAATGACAAATGAAAAATCATTGCAAAAACACAATTGCGACATTTTGAAAATTTTGACTCTTGAAATTCAATAACTTAGGACATTGTTGACATACGAGAAAAAAAAATTAGCCCACATGAAATATTACTATAATCGGAATCAAACAAAGAGCCCGTTTGGTAGCACGAAAATCGGCTGTTTTGGCTGATTCTGCTGAAATTTATGAAATTCTGGCTGAATTGGCTGTTTTGGCTGATTCTGCTGATTCAAGAAAAAAATATTTTAAAAATATATTTTATTAATAAATTATAGAAAAAATTACATGTAAAAATAGCTAAAATAGTCCTCTACAGTAACTTCAGCCAATACAGCCAGAAAAGTAACTCCAACCTTACTTTTTCTGCTTATTACACAATTCAGCACACAAATGTAAAAGTTACGTATTTGGTGAAAAAGCTGGCTGATAAGCCTGATAAGCCGAAAAAGGAGGTCTCCAAACGGGCTCAAAATCTGTTAATCTAGTCCCAAATTATGACCAATTTTTTAACTAGATGACATTCTGAAATCGGAATCATAAAAGTTGACTTCATATACTTGGGTGAAATAAGGATGAGGATGAATCCTTTGTACTAGTTGTATACTTGTATAACATTAATTTAGCTTCCCAGTTACATAGTAAAGAGCTCAAATTGATAATTATAAACTTAGATATGATCAAATGTCCAACTAAGTCCTCAATGAACAGAATTGAGTCTATTACATTTGCAATACTAAAAAACTTTCCAATGACATAAACAAGGGTTAAAACTTAAAATGAATACAGAATACCCTAAATTTAAATTTGACTACATCCACACATATAAGTTAGTGTGAAACAACATCGTTTTTATATATTTTACTCAAACAAGGACTCTACTATAATTATAGAACTAGAATTTCTCTTTCGAATGACACAAAAAGGGGTCAAATTGATCATTCTAAACTTCCATATATGAAATTTACAACGACATGTCAACAAAAATTGATGAAAGGCAACATGGATAAGAGGCATATACCTACAAAAAGATGACATCAATCATGACACCCACATTTTTCTTCGCTACAATCACCATCAGTAGAATAAACCCCCAACTAAAACCAGACGGGATATTCATTCATGCTTAGACATGTCACTGTTACTTCAAATCCCATTCTCTTGAATGCCGGTTCAGATCACTGGGAACAATTGATACATTGTCCACACAAAGGCCGCCTTTGGAATGTGTGCAATCGATCTGTTTCATTGAAAACCGAACCTCAGTCATCGGATCAGATCCAGTGACAAGGAATTTCCCCACCTTGTACTCTATCCAGCACCCACGCTTGTGATTCCCACTTACCTCATCCTGTACATCATCATCCAGAAAGCACTCGCTCACGCCATGCTGCCCATCAGAAGTCGAGAACTCGAACCTCACTGGTTTTATATCCCAACCATGGGTGTGTTCAAAGTTGCAAACACGCCTCCCCAATCTCTTGTTGAACCTGCCAAGATGGATCCTAAACGAAAGTGTGTAGACATCCGGTGGAAAAGGAAAACTCACCACACCATCAACTTCAAACCACCATACTTGTTGCAAATAGGCCACAACATGGAACCTAAAAACCAAACAAACAAAAAAAGGAAAAAGTAATGAATGATGATCTCAATATCTCCATGACTCGTTTACCAAGACCGTCAAAAAGTACCATTTTTAGTACTTCGGCAACAATATATTATATGATTTTCATCTTCCGATTTGTTAAAAGTTTCTATGTTTTTTATCCTGTAATAAGACTTCAGCTATCTATCTATCACCAGCTTCAGAGATATAGCATTGATGCTACAAATATTTGTTTAGTGAGTGAACGCTACTTATTCACTCTTAGTTATGTTCCCTTGTAATAAGCATAACATACAAGATATATTCATGTTTGCAACATATTTTACACGCTCGAATTCACAACTTATTCTTAAAACTTTCCATCTTTGTTTAATTTTCACCATTTGCCTGCAATGCGGACCCAATCTTTTATGCTTTATTATATCTCACAGTATGAAATGACCAAAAATGGAAAGAGCTGTATGCCATTTTGGAAATGTTAAAGTGGAAATTTTCCCATTCAGATAATATCAAAGACACTAGACAGTCATTCAGGAGCATGCATAGCTGAATGTCCAAACTACAGGAAACACTATCGGAATAAATTCAAATACATAAGGGTGCACTTAAATTAGTTGGCAGAAACCCCACTAAGAATGGCCATGACATTGACATATTGTATTTCCCATAGAACACTGGAAAGCAATATCAATCTCGAAATTTAAGAATAAACTGGAATTGGTTTCACTACAAGCCATCTATCCGAAACGACAAGCAATGCCAATCACTAACATAGATTTCACAGAAGAAAAAAAACAAGGATTAATTTTAGGTTGATTTAGCGCACCCTACCACGATATACTTATTTCAGCTTATTAAATTTAAACAAAACGCTCGATATGTATAAAACAAGAGCAAATGGTTACTACTGATTTTCGATGACTAAATTTTCATGGGATCAAGATTATGACGTCGATTCGGTTCCCAAAAAGTTGTCCAAATATCTGTTCTGATAAAGCATACTGAATACTAATATGTTTCTAAATCCAAAGGAAAACAAAAGAAAAACTATGATGATTGAAGCACTATAGGATCACATGGATACTTTATAAGGCTGAACTAAACCTGTTGCGATGCATATTTTGCACAGAATAAGAAAAGTTTAGTTTTCTCAACTCACAACATCTTGGAACTTCAATTTCCTTCATAAAACGTGACTGAAGATTTTAAATCCCTAAATCATAGACAGCTTTCATGAAATATAGAGCATTTTGATAAAAGTAGAACTTAATCAAACAGCACTTTGAAGTTAAATAATCCCTTTGCCCCACAATATTTGTCACGTCTTTCTAATTTATCCTTCTTGCTAAGTTGGTCCTATACCAAATCTGACTATATTTTGAGACATAGCCATTCTTACTTTTACAAGTTCAATATCAACCACACAATCCAACTTTCCTCACATTTGTTCCAGATTAATGTCCCAGACTTAATGGAATAGTATATCTCCCGAAATTCTACAACTTTAAGTTGATAGCCATTGTTAGATCATAATGTCATAGGTCCATTCTTTAATTCAAAAATACCCCTAACTCAAATCAATTACACCAGTCAAGAAATATTAAAAGCAATTCGAGTATATACTTAAATATAACTAAACAACAACAACATTACCCAGTGCCGCAAAGGCTCCCACCTACGGTGGGATAAGGGGGTCAGATGTCCACAGCCTTACCCTTGTACTCAAGCACATAGAGACTATTTCCAGATGACCCATGATGAAAATCGCATTGAAAATTGCATGGACAGTTCAGTGAGCCATTTTGCTTTATTCCATCATATTCCCAAGCCAAAAAATAGTGAGTCTTTGGCTCCATTGGAAATGATGGAATGCATATAATTAAATATAACTACGAACCAAATTACTATGGGATGAAGAATCAACAATAAGTAGAGAGGGAAGAAAAGAATTTTTATAAAACATTTTATATAAATATAAACAGACCTCATTTTAATATCACTACATAATGAGCTCTCTATAGCACTTCTAAATAAGATGTCCAACCCATACAATGAGTCTGAATCATTTTATGACATCATAAATAATTAGATTTAAGTCCAAGTATATAACCTAGACTCTTCTGTGGTAAGCCAGTTCCAGTATCTCCTATCCTCAATCCCTGTTATGGTCATTGCTTTTGCAGAAATTGCCATGCAAACCCTTCCAGTAACCCTATCCAACCATATTTCCTGTGAGTGCACAACATTAAAAAATACATAGGTGAGATTCCGTGAGAACAACAATCTATTTACATCTCTGTTCTTTTCGTTCTGAAGTAAGAAAGCAAGGGTATGTTAGTTTACTAATCTGAAATTGAAATCTGAACTTAGCAATGACCATGATTTTAATTTTTCTCATTATATAACATTCACAAACCTCAAAGGTTTACGACTTCAGGCACAGAGCTTAGGACAAGTCAACAATCTTGCTATTTAGATAGCTCATAGCTACATACATAACCATTCACTCTTTCAAATGTATCCATCCACAATCAAATGATTTTTTTTTCTTTTCAAATGCTTTCGCACAATCAAATGATATTCTAACACTGATAATTCACAAAATCATTTTAAATCAAAGCTTAGGGATTTAGTCATGCACTCATGTGACAAGGTACATCCAATCTTATTACAAAACAATTTGAAAATTAAACCAAATAATATATCCAAAGGGAAGAAGATTTTCTGGAACTTTAAATTACATCTCTTAAGATTTTCATGTTCCCTTTGGATCGAGCTGAACCTACATGAATCTAGGTGAATAATTCGATTCCTTCCTTTTGGTCACTGATTTGATAGCATTATTAACCTACTTTAACCAGACGACACTCCATTCATTCCATTTTTGCATCCCAAAATCAGGGTGAAGGCCTGAAGGGTCATAGTCAAATGAACCTTTTGTTATTCATTTAAACCCAAACCATAAAGAAACAACTGGGTAGATGTTGTTCCAAACATCATATTAACGTGTTTACTAGGTCAACACAGTTTTCTCATAATTTTGGTTACTTTCTTAAGTTTACCCTAATCAAGTTAAACCTAAATCCAAATTAATTCACTATATTTCAACTGCTTATCCGATCCCCTAATTGTTTTTGGCTAGGAAGAATCTGTCACCCAAAATTGATAGTACACCACAACTGAGCTCTTCCCTCTCTTGATCAAAGGGAGAGAAAGGTAATCTTTACAGTATATCTATGAACTGCTAATCTAACAGCAAACAGAAAATTAAGAAATTACTTGCCTTGTTGGCGTCGTCAAAAGGAACTGGACGAGAGAGGAAGGCGAATATGTCTTTTTTGCACAGTCCATGGTATCTGTCTTCCGGAAAAAGGTCGAGCAACTGTTGGTAGTTGGAGGGCAATTTGGTTTCCCAGACGGAGTCGGATGAGGCGGCGCCACGGAAAGCGCGGTTGAGCCTAGCCAAGTTGCAGATCTCCGGCGGCGTCAGGTGCAAGAAAACACTGGCGACACAGCTCTCCGGTATGTCCCCTAAACCAGGCCTGTCATTGGCCGACCCGTTCTCCGTCAGGCTCGATAACGACGCGCCCATTATTTTATGAGTACCTCCCTTTTATGCGATTCTTCTCAATTAATGTTATTGTTATGACAGAGACGCCGTGGGCGGAGGTAACCCGTGGCGGAGAACGTGGACAAAATGGGGAATAAACAAATGGGGTTGAGAGCCCAGGTTCTGGTAAATTACGCCGACTGTTTATTTAATTTTAAAATTTCATTTACTAATTTATAGGGCATCCGAGTACATAGATTATTTTTGGGATCATTTTGATAATGTGGAGAATTTTTTTGGGATCATAAATGAGGAGTTGAGATTATTTTATCCGATTATTTGATAAAATATTTTATCCGATTATTTGATAAAATAATCTCGTATCAAATTCTAAACCTAAATTATTTTGAGATTATTTCCAACTTTTAGACTTTTCTCTCCATTTTCTTGGCATATACTCATAATTAAGATGATGACTAGCTTTGTAGTTCGTGCATGTCTCATAACAAATCTAGGTAAATTAAGATCATGGATGAGGAGAAATTGATAGGTTTGGAGATTAATTGAGATAATTTTATGTGGAATGACATGGCAATAAGAAGCCATAAAAAATCGTAAACTTGAGTATCATGAATGAAGATGCTCTTATAAGAAAAAAATGCAAATACTTCAAATTTTAAAGGGGTGTGATTTCAATACTCTAAACTTGAATTTAAATATCTCAAACTTTATATAAAAGATTATGCTATCATAATTTTTATATAAAGTTCAGGATATTTTAATTGCATATATAAGTTGGGGTGTTTACATCACACGTCTTCAAAGTTTGAGATATTTGAATTATTTTTCTCTTTTATAGAGGAATTGTCCAATAAGTCCTTTTATTGTCTCGTAAAAGTCAATTGACTCGTGAGTTGCACGGATGATGAAAGGTGGATTATTTATGTAATTTTCTAAAAAGAATGCAAATAACCTGATATAATAGGTCACCAACTAGTCAGAATTCAATGAAAGAAGATGATGTGCAAAGGTGAAATTATTCAAGGATTACGTAAAAGTGAGAATGTGAGATTATTATAAGATCGGTCAAAGGTGAGATTATTCTTGTAAATTTTCCTAATAAAAATTGAACAAGAAATATAACTTTTCACTCCATGGTGGTGGTTCAGGAGGCACATCATATTTTTCCTCCAAAACTAGATGATTGTAAGCCTGTTGAAAATCATCAAACTCTCCCAATTTCTTGTTCATCTCGTTCTCGGATCGAACCCTATTGACGATTTCAGACTTCTCCATAGCTTCCTCATTGCACACCGTTACCCAACACACAGAAACAAATCTTTCCCGCAGTAGAAAATCTTTTCCTAGAATGGCGATGTAAGACCACGTGAACCCTAGGCGAGGTAGCACCTCACTCCCGTTTGGAAATTAGTAAGAGGTGCGGAGAAATAATATCAAATTAAAAGTCTATGTTCAAATTGGGTGTTGTCCAGGATAATTTAAGGTATTAACTCTTTACAAATAATACAAGTATGTTTGACCCAACTAGCTGAAAAGATACTTTTGTGAGCTTTTTAATAACTGTTAATTTTTAGTGACTGAAAAGATTTTAAAAAGAAAAGGTGGTAGCTGTTTGGTAAAAACTTACTGTTTGTTTTAGTTCGGTTTGGTATACAAGTTGTTAGGACTAATTAATACTTCTTCTGTCCCTTATAACTTTGCCAACTTTTCTTTTTTGGATGTCTCATTAACTTTGCCACTTTGCCATTTAAGTAAAGAATTTGTGGTTCCAGTTCATTCTCTCTCCTCTGCACAAACCCCAACCACACAGTTTTTACTTTATTAATTTCTGTGCCGGTCAAACTTGACAAAGTTATTAGGGACGGATGGAGTATTAAAAGTCACGGACTTTTTTTAGATGCTACCTCTGTAACATCTCAAAAAAGATCTTTTAATTTTGAAAAACTTATTAAAAATTGTCATGTCAAACATATAACTAGAAGCTTTTAAAGACTTTTTGAACATATAAAAGCTAGAAGAAGGAAACTTATGTCTATCAAGCTTACGTACAAGTTTAATCGTTTAAAAAACTCCATTCAAGATAATGATTACATGTCATTCAATTTTGCATCTCATGACGAGATCTTGTTCAAGCACGGGAGAAAAATTTTGCACGTAATTTGTTACCACCAGGCACAAAATCTGTATGATTAATATAGTTCAATTCAATCTAAGGTTAACACGTTGGAGTTGATGAGGCAACTGTAAGTTTAACCCATTATATTCATTGGGGACTTCAATGAGATCTTAAGCAATTGTGATAAGGATAGGTGGTTCGTGGTTGGGGTCTTTGGTCACATATATTAGCCAAATGATAAAGGAGATGGGTAAGCACAAAAAAATAGATTCTTAATAGAGTTGTCTATTCTCGAAGATTTGATTATCCCTTCAATATGGAGTACATACTAATATATATACAACCTCTCTCCAGAAGATTCTCACTTTCCTTTTTTAAACATTCTGTATAAAGATTTTCATTTTGATTTTAGAAAATAATTACCAATATTAAATGACAAAATAATCATTAAATACTAAAAATAATACATTTATAATATCGCAATTATCGATACTAACTACATTACAATATAAACCTATTAAAGTTATTTCTCAAACTATGTTCGTAGTACTTTATTTAATTATTGTCTAAACAATTGTGTTGTTGTGCTATGGAAACCTAGTTAGTAATATACATACCAACTCATTGGTATTATTTATATCACATACTAAAAACTTATTTAATTATATATGTTAGATATATTTATTTACTTTACAAATTGATCTAATAATCAGATTTTCAATTATGTACTTGTCATAACTTTTATTTTTGGAAAGGAAAAATAAAGAAAGAGGACCAAATAGAAAGACAAAAGAAAGAAAATATAACACGTAAGTCATCTTAGGCTATGTTTGGCACACCATTTCAGCTAATAACGAGTGAATTTTGAAAATCTAGCCAATAATTATTGAAGTATGTGTGTTTGGATAGCAGGCTACACTGAGCTTAAGCTCAAAATAAAGGTCTGAATGGGAACATTATGAAACGAAACGTCTCTATTCAGCTGCGTGTATAATTGACTTATATTCCTAAAATATCCCTGCACGCAACATCATTTCCGGCTTCTTCCCTGCAGAATTCTTTGCTCGATTTCTTTAATTCTTCTTCTCTGTGGTTCTTCGCCTAATACATCTTTTTCTCTGCAATTATTTTCTTCCCTAACCATCCGGTGCAGATCTTATCCAAGAGTAATATATCCGAGTATTCACATCAACTATAGGAAAATCTGAAAATATAACTTTTTCTCGGTCAATAATTGAAAACTAATCGGTGCATGTGTATCCTCCATTCTTATGGAGTGTTTGCAATTGCTTCAAGTTTAAAGAAGTGATTTTTTAAAGTGATTTTGGGAAAAGTGATTAATAGTAAAAGTTGGTAGTGTTTGAAGAAAAAGTGATTCTAAAAAAGTAAAAGTTGGTAGTGTTTGGTAAAAGAAGTATTTTTTGTGTAATAGAAAAAGTGAAAAGCAGTTTAAAGCACCCTTCCACCTGCTTCCAGCTTTTAAGTGATTAATTTAAGCAGAAGCTGTCATTTGAAAACACTCTTTTTAACTTTTTTTAAGCCAAAAGTTGAAAAGCACTTTTTTTAATCAAATGCAAACACTCCCTTAATTAGGAACATGGTGGGGTGAGATTTATGGAGGCATAAACTTGTTCACCAAGGATTAGGACGAAATAAGCAGGACAAATAAAGCATCTATTTAGGTGAAAAATTAGTAATCATTATAATAAATATTTTTGAATAATACTACCTCCGTCCCATTTTATGTGTCTCCTTTGGTTTTGGCACAATTTTTAATAAAGTGGTTGAAAAAGTAAAAGTTGTGGTTGCGATTTGAGTATAGTAAAGTGAAATGTTGTGAACCACATATTTCTTTCCAAAAATGGAAAGATGACACTTATTTTGGAACAACCCAAAAAGGAAAGTAAGACATGTAAAATGGGACGGATGGAGTATATTTTTTGCCCTTAAATGTAATTTTACATTTTCCAGTCACCCTTTCAGCTCGTTCTGCCAAACAAGTATACTTCATTTAGCTAACAGTTCAGATTCAGCACCTTATAATTCAGTTCCAGACAATAGTTTTTAATTCAGACTTCAGTCTTCATTTGAGACTTCAGTCTCCAGCTCCAGCTCGAAGTGCCAAACATAGCCTTAGTAGAGAGGTTTTGCATAATGAATAATCTGATTCAAGACAGCTGCTATGAGCTAGGGATGGACTAGGACAGGCCTACCCGATCCGGTCCGCTACTGTGCAGGTCCGGCCTGACTAGGTTGATCGGGATCGGGACTAGGCCTGAGAATCGACTCGGTTGAAGAAGCAGGCGGGCATTGGGCTTTGATTTTATTGGACCGGTCCGGCCTGGCCGGGCCTAACGATCAAGGATTCAGAAAAAAAACATTTTTGGACTTTGAATTGTTTGGTCTGAGCCGACCCAGTCCCGTCCCGAAGCTTGCCCAGGTAACCCGGCCCGACCTGTTACCAGTACAAACTCGGGTCAGTACCGAGCCTGAAATTCTTAGGCCCGAAGCCCGCCCGGGTCCCAACCCGAAGTGTGTTTCAAATTGGCTTTTGCACTCAAAAAACTATATTAAGAAGCTATTTTACCCATTATCAATTTACGAAGGTCAGTCAATCAAATCATCTAAATATGGTTAAACCAGTCAAATTGCAAAATTAAGCTACATATACTTTCAACAACATTTAAGAAAAGTTAATTTAAAAACTTTTTTTAAAACATCATATACATTGTATGCCCAATGAAAATCAAACGCAAGATATTGATGACCTTAACACACTATATTGTATGGTAAATCACGATTTTGCATGAAAGATCCAAACAAGATAAGATAAATAGACTCTTAGGAAGATGAGGCATAAGAAATGTGTGGATCCAAGTGGTATAACGATGGATGCTTGAAGAGTCTGGGAGAGAGACATCAAATTGTTAACTACTTTCATTAAATAAAATTTAATAAAATAATAATAATATGCCAGTGGGTCAATATATAGAAGAGTGCTTCTGCCTCTTTATTTAAGAATAAAAGAGTGACCCAATAAAATTTATGAAGAAGGGTGAA